CCAAAGTAGGCCTCCAACTAACTTCCTCTTTGTATAAGTTCTCATAAAACCCCACTATCGCCCCTTTTACCTCCTCTTCTCCCTCAATCCTCACCCATGCACAACTAAGGACTCTATGAAGTTTCTCCTTCGATTTGCAACCGCAACCCTGTGGAAAAACTTGGTATTCGAATCCCCCTCNTCCCCCAAAGTAGGCCTCCAACTAACTTCCTCTTTGTATAAGTTCTCATAAAACCCCACTATCGCCCCTTTTACCTCCTCTTCTCCCTCAATCCTCACCCATGCACAACTAAGGACTCTATGAAGTTTCTCCTTCGATTTGCAACCGCAACCCTGTGGAAAAACTTGGTATTTGAATCCCCCTCATTTAACCAGAGCGCCCTAGATTTTTGCCGCCAACTAGTCTCCTGAGCTATTACTAACTCGATTATTTCACTCTTAACCTCCCCCAATCTCGCTTTCTCAGATTCATCTAGCTCCCTCGCCCCTTCCCCTCTCTGTAAATCCCTCAATTCATGTATAAGCTCCCTCATTTTAACCTCTACCCTCCCAAAAACCTCCTTATTCCACCTAATAGTATCTCCCTTAAGCAATTTGAGTTTCTTCGAAAGACGGAATGAGGGTGACCCTGATACCCCGTAGCTTGTCCACCATTCTTTCACTTTGTCATCAAATCCTGGCACTTTCAACCACATGTTCTCGAATCGGAAGGGAGCACGCACCCCCTACCTCTGCATCCATCTAGCAAGATAGGCAAATGATCCGAAGTCAGCCTAGGTAAAGGAATCTGCAGCACATTCGGCACCAACTCATCCAATGAGGGCGATATCAGGAATCTATCAAGTCTAGACCTTGAGTTTGAATCCTCCGCCCTGGCCCAAGTAAACCTTTCCCCTGACAGAGGAAGATCAATGAGACAGTGATCATTGATGAAGTCAGAAAACTCCTCCATGGCCCTCGAAATCATGTGACACCCTAATCTCTCATCCGGGAATCTAATAGTGTTAAAGTCTCCCCCTTCAATCAATCATCATCTACATTATATAATAATATATATATATAAGAGATGAAGTGGGAAAGGCTTCCCTCGGTACAGCGAGGGAGGAACCAAGCCTTCGCTCGATCACCGAACCGCCAGTCTTAACTCCTTGAATCAGTCAGCAAATTAGTAAGTCCATCAATCTGTAGTGTAATAGTCTCACCAGCCCGTAGACTAGTCCAGTAGTGGGTGAGTAGAGTC